GTTAATAAGTTTTATTATATTTCTGACTTGCTAGTTTGCTATTATTGTCAGATGTTATAAAGAGCTTTATAACAAGAAACACAAATTGATACAAGATTCTGTATCAATAATCAAGAGAAAGAAAAAACAAAGACAGAATGATTCTTGTCGATTTGTGCTTCTGCTGAAAATTTCCCAATTGATTCTGTTTAAAAATGTTGCCTTTATACTATCAGAATTAGTAGCGTACACTTCTCAAAATCTGTTTTTGCTGACTTTGCTATTTGGATTGCAGCCTGGATGATTCATTTCTCAAAACAGATGCAACAGATCCACAGGATGAACGAGCGATCATAGAGCTATTGCGATTCCTGGAGATGCGTATCCAAAGGAGAGATTTGTTGCAAGAAGATGTGAGCGAGAAACGTATGAATGATTCCTAATGTATCTTTCAATATGCAATTACTATTCATATAATTTCTTTCCACTGTGTAATTTTTCAAAGTTGAGTTTTTCCAGAAAATCATTTCAAAAATATGTTGGTGAAACTGGAACATGAAAACACATGCTTAAGACATGACAATAACAAACAGAAAAAGATAGTGAGTTTTGTGATGGCAATAGATATAATTGAAGGACTTGATATATAAAAACTGCTCTGCTTAATTTTTTTTTGATAAAAATTTCGAACGGAGTAAACATTCGTGCACGTTTTTTGATATAAGAAATAGCGAACAAATAATTGTAAAATGACAATTCTAAAAACTAAAAAGATCATCAAAATATAGTAATAGAAAAATAATATAAAAATTGTAATCCCACCCCCCATTAATTAATTTTTAAGAAATGATAAGTTATTTTTTTGGAAACAAGTAACAAGTTACTTTCAGAAAAAAAACAGTAACAGTAATGAATTGTTTTTATAACTTTCCTAATCCTGTTTTTTGTATAATATACAGATTTTGTATAATATATAGAACTAGCCAATTTTCACAATTGAATTTGATGTTAAAATCAGTCAGCTTGATTTTCTTTTTGTCAAAAATTTCGAAGCATATCAAACATTTCGCGTTTTTTTAGTATAAGAAACAACCAACAACTGTAAAACGACATAAACAATTCTAAAAACTATAAAAAAAGATATAAAAGTTACAACTTCAAGTCTTTCAATTATGCTTGTATTTTATTTTCTTAATATCTTTTTAGTAATATCTTTGCGATAAATCTTTCAGATCTTCACGTTAGAAGGCCGTATCTGTAAATTACAAAACCACATCGATAGCTTATTATATAAATTGAATAATGCATGTGATGCTATGAGGAACATACAGCAAGAAGTAAGCATATTTTTGCAATGTAATGATAATGTTTGCAGTGATTATGATATGATTATGATATGATTTCTTCTTATACATTAATGCAATTTTTATACAGTTAAGGGACAGAGATAGGCAACTCCAACAACATACATTAGACAAGCAAAAATTAATACAGAGATGCAACATTATGATAGAAGCGGAGATTAATAGAATGGCCAAGGAAATGCAGATAAAATTGCAGGAACAGCATGAGCAGCTGACGGTATTTTAGAGTTTATAGTTGCAAATCAATGTCATCAATTATCATTTTTCTTTTTCAATATCTCTCTTTTCTGAGACAACTTTTGACGAGTCATACATTAAAATTTGAATCGCTTTTAGAGCTGTATTAAAAAGAAGGATAACAAATTGAAATTGGTGAAACAAATATTAACTTCGGCTCGTGAGGATACATGCGATAATGTCATCTTGATGCCACCGATAGCTTCGAGAATAGAGACTACAAAAAAAACAACTTCGATACCCAAGAAAGAACTTTCCTTAATGATGCCAGTTAATCTTCAAACTTCCAGAAGTCCTTGTGAACAAATGCGCCAGACATTATTTTCTCGTGCAATTTTCAATGATACCCACGAAAAAACTACAGAAAAATCAAATCCATCGTTATCCAAAGAAAAATCTTTCACAATGACATTTATGGATTCTCAGAATTCTAGCTCTCGTGATCGGATTCACCAGATACCCTGTCACATAAGAACTGATTCTAACAATGTCCAAAGAAAAACTACTAAAGAAATTTTAATGACAGTCGCAGAATCTTCCATGTTTTCAGATTCGAAAACCAAGCTCATAGATAAATCGAACTCAATGACGTCCATTGATTCTTCATCATCTGCAATTGCGTCAACTAATACAATTATTACTAAAATTAATTTTAATAAAAAGGTAAAAAGAGTTGCGCGCAGATTGAGTAGAAACCATTAATTGTATGCTTCGACAATGCTTGGACCAGTGTGCGTACATGTATATTTACTGATTTTTCTTTATGTGTGTATTCAGGATAAGATCCCAGTAGTGAATCCACGATACCAGCGAATGCAAAATGCAAATAGATGGATAAATCATCGTCCTATTAAGATAATTCCGACCGATACAATTTTACAACCACGAACACAGCCTCATAACCAAACCATTCGAAAGTTGACAAATTCAAAAGATTTTATGACCAAATCTTCCAGATACTGCCTTCTTTCACAGGAACAAGACGTGAATGGTGAACTTGAGATGTATAAAGTAAGATTTGTTATAGCATTACTTTGGAGAATGTATTGTATCATTGCACATTGCAGGCCAATATATTGCCGACTTGTGGAGGAGGGGCGCAGATTGTATTTAACGATATAGAATGCTTGAAACAGATATCTCCAACCGTTGCAAAACGTAATGGACAAAAAATTGGAAAATAATCCGGTAAATACATAAAATTTGTGTAAACTACCAAAAATATTCGTAAGTCCTAAGATAACTTTGTAAGATAGTTACAGAGTTGTTAGTCTTTTCTTATTTATTTCTTGTTATTTATTTAACAGATATATTTGAGAGAGTATACTATTTTAATTTCTTGTTTTTCGTATAGATACTTTAGAATTTGCGACAGTTTTTTTTAAATAAAAAGCTAAATATTTCATTGTCAAAAGTAGTAATAATTTATTGTTCTCTTGTTCTTAAGTATCTCGTAAAATAATGCTTAATTAATTCCGAAGTATCCATACATCATAATATATAAGCTGGAAAACAGACTGTATCTATGATTGAAATGGTGAATTGAACTAGAAAAAAAAGAAAAGAATGCAACGTTATTTTATATATGTAATAAAGCTACACAACTTGTGTGCCGATTAATTTATTTGAATGTGAACAAGGATCGTTGCCACATACGAGGACGCTAACGGATAGATGTCCTTCATTTATATATACACATACATACGCGCGCGCGCGCGCGCGCGCGCGCGCGCGTGTGTGTGTGTGTGTGTGTGTGTGTGTGTGTGTGTGTGTGTGTGTGTGTGTGTGTGTGTGTGTGTGTGAAAGAACACTGCCGCGTTTAAAAGATTCCAACAAAGATTCGTTGGTTGAAGCAAATTTTTAATCATACTATCTTACCGATTGACAATCACGCAGAAACTAATTATATTTTCAAAATCTTATAAGAAACAGCAGCATCCCCTCCTCTCATCTATCCCATAGTCCCGACGCGCGCGATTAAACTGTAAAATATATAAAATTATAGAAATATCAAGACTAGATGAATATATTAATCGTTAGAGTGATTAGTCATTATATTCTGATCGACTTTCTAACAAATTATATATGTATTTTATATATACATACATATACGTGTGTGCGCGCGCGCGCGTGTGGGTGTGTGTGTGTGTGTGTGTGTGTGTGTGTGTGTGTGTGTGTGTAAAGTGTATTGGATATCATTTAAAGATATTGTCTTACGTAATGCACATTCTCCTTTCTTATAATACACTACAAATTGCTCAACAAGTATGTTCAATTATGTTCAATTTTCATCAAATTTCCTTATTAAATAAAACAAATTTACGATTCAGAATAATACCGAAAATTTAAGATTTATGCGAAATCTTTTCGACAAACGATAATATATAAGAATCTGCAAGTGCCAATCTTCAGAAGAACAATGCATCTTTTTCTGAATATTCTTTAATAAAATAAAAGACACAAGTAAGTTGACAACTCAAGTGACGAGCATCGAAGATAGATATGTATCGTGTAAATAATATCGTTCAATGGATGCTGTCATTCTCCATAGAGATATCTTGTGAAATAACTGAATTATCGATCTACGATAATCGAATCAGACTAAATATAACATTTACAAAGTGTATTTTATTTCATAACGACTATATGCATATATACATTTTGTGTGTGTGTGTGTGTGTGTGTGTGTGTGTGTGTGTGTGTGTGTGTGTGAGGGGGGGTGCATGCGCGCGTGTACATTGCCTTCGATACTGCGAAATATAATATACTGTTGTCATAATTTAGCGAAACAACGGACAGTCGTATAATAGTTTCATCGCTACTATAAAATTATCTTATATGATAAAATGATTAGGCGCATATTCAGGCAACTCTATACTTGACAAGCGCCACAATGCTTGATTGAGATTTACTGCAACGGTAACACATCAAGTTAGATATCTTTCTGTAGCATATAATATGACTCGTGTCCGTTTATTAATCCGCTATAAAAAAAAATTGCTAATATAATTTCAGGTATTATGACTACTGATATCAGTAGATAAGATTTTGTGCGACTTCAAACTTTTTATCTCAATCCACAGATAATATTGCCTGTGCCCAATTGGTGTTACAATGCTATTAATTTTCTGCCGCAGACAATTCATCGAATGATATAAGATTATTGAAAACTATCGTTTTCATTGATGGAAAAACATGCGCAATAAAATGAATGGGCGACAGAAAAAAAAGAGGAGACGTCGTTTTTCTATTTCATGACAATTCTCACGTTTGCAAGTGTGCAAGTATAACACTATATACAATTGAAAGTTCTATTACGGAGAAAAATTTCAAGCGACAAATTTGAGATCACACTTCTTCACATGAAGACTGACTAAATAGAACAATGTAGACATGAAGTAATAATCGAGAATAAAAATCTTTTACTGTAAAATATAATAAACAATATCGACGAAGAATGTGTGTTCACTTAAAAGCTCATGAAACGAACGATTCGATCGTATATGAATCGCAAATGAAAGTGCTAAAGAAGATAACCGGTATCGAAAAGCAAACCGAACGGAGACTGCAACAATTTAACCTCCAGAACTGTTTTACTTTCCCTTTTTCGATTTGCGATTTCGATTTCACTCCGACCATACACAGTAAACAGTAATATCGTCGTAAATTCATTATTTTATGCACAACGATTAATAATACTTTTTACTCTATGGCTTTGCTCATGAACTCTATAAATCGTTTGCCATATTGTTCTGGATCACAGGTGGATATACCGTCAACGTTAGCACCATATTTGACGGTCTTTGCCGCTTTCGCCGCTTGTTTACGTACACCATAATGCGTCAGCACGTCTATTATGGCCAAAAAATAAATCTCCTTTGTGGGAGCACCTATGAAAATATATGTGGTTTAATATTATATGTGGATAATTTTATACACACGCGCATATACATACACACACGCACGCAGTGTTCCATAATTCATGACCAGAATTTTATTAACATATTCCTGACTTAAAGGTAATTCCTAATACCAATATTAATGTCGAAATTATAAGTTTTCAAATTAATAGCGATTAAAGTTAACTAATCACAGAGCTGACATTTTTGCTCAGGGACAATACATCATACAAACGGATGTTTGTATGTATGTGATGTTCGGTTCACCTCATGTGAGATTGGAAGTAATAACATATACAATAGTATTGAAATACTTCATTAATCATGTTTAAACTTAGAAAATAATTACATATGCAATATACATAACATAAATAAAATATTACAGGATATTAAAAATAATAAGAATATAATGAATTAATTTAAAAATTATTAGTCTTGACATTTTGGTATTAGGATTTTTGTCTTATTTTTAAATCAGAAATATATTATTAAAATTTCAATCACGAATTGTATTCTATATATTCACTTTAATGCACGATTATCAGTATATCTAGAAAAAGTACCTTCTTTACTAGGAATAGCGTAAATATCTAGCTCAGGTATTATCGCATCTTCGTACTGTAAACTGGTGTCACGCATTAACGCTGCATGTGGTGACTCAGGAGGTGTTGCCATATTGGTAACCGTGTGACCGACGCCACTCCAACTCCATAAGCGGCTGCAAACAAATGAATGACATCGAATAAATCAAATGGAAACTGAACTAGTTTTCGTCCAAAAGAAGAGTAGAAAAAATATCCACTCACTCTGCCAATGGACCTCGAGACTCCAGTCCGCTACCTGACTCGCTGTCGTCCTCTTCTTCATGATTGTCCTCATCATCCTCTCTTTCTGCACGTTCTCTGCTCTCTTGCTCGGCGCGCGCACAATCATGTAAGCCAAGTAGCAAGGAGTAATCCATCAAGTGTAATCTTGTTAAGAACTATGGAGACAGATTATCATTTTGGATACTTCGAAGTCTTTCACAAATTTGAAGCCAATTTTTATTTCGATAAATAATTCAAGATAACTATTAAAATATTTCTCATCATAGTACAAAATCTTTTGTGTGATCAAAATTTATATTCTTATATAAATACTTACATCTACATCAGCGGTTAGTGTTTCTATTAGCTTAGTTTTGGCTTCTTCTCCGATGTAAATCTTCATACCCTCTTTAACGAAATCGTTATCCTTGTAGGTAGGGAGATCCTTCTCTTTCTCTTTATCTGACGCTTCTCGATCTACCGTCGAGCCTTTTAAGTCGAATTTCTTGTGCGTCGTCAGATGATTCGAGAATACATTCCTTATGGCAACTACATAGTACTCGACGCCGTCAACAGTCAATCGGTACATTCCCAGGTATTGCGGTAGCAGTGTCTTTCCATGTCGTTCAACAATATACTGCAATGCAATGTCCGCGCGTGTAATCTTGAATCTTCATGACATTTACTTCCGATTATACTTACGGGATGATAATGTTTCAAGAACGAATGCATCCTTTCCACTTCCTCGCTCGTGAGGGTTTTAATTATAAACAATTTGTCATAAGATTGATAAAATTTTGCACCACTCTTCCCAGATGAATCGTCAAGCACTGGTTGAGATCTGGAAGAAGAAATGCGCAAATCGCATCTTGGGTATATATGTGGATGTGCATTTATAAAAGATCAAACAATACTTCAATTCGAATGACCGTTGGCATAATCTTGGTAAATATAAATGATGAATTGTCAAGAGCGGTATATTAGATAATCGATGGGTTTTTGAAGCCGAATATCTGGCTGATGTAAAGCAACTATGTTGGAGTCATCATTAATTACATTAATACAAGAATATTAATTAACAATTATAAATTAAAATTAAAATATTTATTTCCCTTTTCACACTATTATTATAATCAATAGGATGATATGACTGTTATCATTATTTTCATCATTATCACCGTTGATATTATATAAAGCACTCGATTTGTTAATATCTTGGTTAACTCGTCAAGCGATATTTTTATGATTTCGACTAAAACATCCTCTCACCATGCTTTAAATCGTGGAAAAGCTTTCAATGGTAACTAATTCCGAGTTTTAAATTACAATTTAAATCAAGCAATCATTGAGATATGTATATTATCGAATTATTATGCTTAGTCACGTCCGTTCTCGATCTTTGGTAGGTCTTTAAGTTTGTTAGAAACAACGAAAACGCACAGCATAGCAAAATCAAGTTTCGCTAACCTCAGGCGTTTCGGTTTAAGACTGTAGGTACACAGCGGTTTGTTTAGAATAGAATTGTGCGAGGAGGCAGAAGAAGGAGAGGAAAGGGTAATCGATGGGACGGTAGCGGCGCGCTGAACCAATTGACGAGTTCTTCTGCCTATTCCATCGACCAAATCCGTTTGTTGCTTTGCTCGCGAAGGATTAAACACCCGACATCTACCACATTAAAATTCTTATATTACAAAGCCATTTCAGTAACCTGTCCATCCCTAATTCAATTGCGATGAACAATATCATTGTGCAACCATGAAAGCGAATTTTCAATTTTATGTAGTAACAGTGCATTTGTTGTGTATTGTACAGTGTTATATTGGATACATCAAAATTTAGTGAGAATAATCAACACAAAGATATTACCTTGTCATTGATTCCTTGTAATCCAAATCATCTATTCCAAACCTTTCTCGCAAATTCCTAAAGACTAACGGACAATATTCTTTGATTTTGAAGTGGGAGGGCATATTCTCTCTGCACAAAAAAAAAGAATAGATTGCATAAGCAAGTATCTGCAGTATTACAAGTATTATCCTGTGGCTTTATCTATTAGTGTAAACAAATCTAAAATTAAACAGTTGTCAGTATCGAGTGTTTCATAGACATGTGTACACATATTGAGAGTTATTAACTAATTATTAATTATGTCTACATATGTATGTACGTAAAATATAGGCAATATATTATATATGCCTAAATACATAATATAGCCTAAATATATTTCTAAGATTATTCCATATAGAGTTATATGGGAATATTTAGAAACAGTCGAACTCGAATATATTTAGAAATAGTATGGACTTGTATGTTCACAATTAGTATGGATATATTATATGTGGACCAAGATGTAAGATTTCTCTCTTATTTAAAAAATAACTTTTTGAGTTGTTACCATGAATGAGTTAAGTAAACCCTATCAATCATCGAAAATAAAAAAATAAAAAACTAATTTCATAAAGTATTATCAAAATTGACAACATTCAAAAAACGTTTTTCAAGAGTTGTGAAATGAAAATGATAAAAATATGACTTTGAGCATATTAAGAGTAGGTATATTCTTTTGGTCAATATTATTTGACTAGTAATTAGTAATTTTCTGTCAAGTTAAAAAATAATTTTTTCTCTTATCTGGAAAATTTATTTTTTTAATCGTGTTATTTTTGAAGAAACTTTTAATAAAACATGAAGAAATCAACCGAGAGAAAGAATCAATATTACATGCAATTGTATGACACACAAATACACACATGAAAAGAGAGAAAAGATAAACTTACTTGTTGAAAAGATGATTATCTACTTTCAACTTGCTGTAAGCTCTAAAATCATCTGGCAAGAGCATTACTGGAATGTTAACATGACTAAGTTCATTTATCTGTAATACAGCAGACATAACAATTATACGATTTATTTCTGAAACGTTAATTATTAATTAATTAAGGTTCATTAATCAAGTTCAACTGATTTATTATCAGGCAACAAAAAATGCCAGAGTAAGTTTGAAGGAGGCTTAACACTTGGCCAAGTATCTATGTACAGGTATGTGATATGGAATTAAAAATAATTTAAAAACAATTGACACAATTATACGGCATTATTAAGCGATTCGACGACGTATACTTATTACATTGTTCTATTAAAGCCTTTATGATTTTTTTATGGTTTACAGCTTGCGAACTTATTGTAGAACAGGCATTAATGGATGACGTCGCAAAGATCTGCGACGGGCGGGAGAATACGCGGACGCGCAATGAAAATAGAAAAATGACGATGACGTTTGTCGAACAGCGAAAAACATCGACACGCGACATTGGAGCGCACGCGGTGCGAATTGCGCGCCGCCTCCATCACTTACCGTGTGATTAACGCCCCACATAAACACACTGAGCAGCGGCTCGTTCGCACGGAACAGCTTAACCTTCTGGTGCTTCACCCGGAAGTGCTTCTTTTTTAGCTTGCTGAGTCCACTGGACATTTGCGGCGCGCCCGACATGCTTGTTTTCCGGACTGTCAACTGCACTCAAATCTAAACGTCGATGTCACGTCAAAACAAGACTCCCGAATGGGGATCTCCTCGCGCTCTTCTCTCCCTCGGCGATCCACCTGGGCGATCCACCCTTCTTGACTGAAGAGGAACGGAGAGGAATAGGACAAAACGCGAGGGGATTTTCTCTTGCCTCTCCGCTGCTTCGTTTACATCGTAAAATTTACCACGTCTGCAAACGGGACGGGAAATGGGATCGCTCTGCACGAGGATATCGAGGGCATCGAGTTGCAGCGGGGCGGGGCGGTAAAAAAATCGGTGTCTTCCTTACAAACTGACGGCGGAACGGTGGCACACGCCCATGAACCTCGAAGCCCGCGGATCCTCGTGACACCACTTTGTACGACGCACGACGACAAATCACTAAAATTACACAACGGACGGATGAATGAACGAACGTCGTATGCACACTGATGCACGCAACACGATTCAACACGAATCCACCGCACCAGAGACAGGGGGCAAAGGGTACAATTGCACTGAATTGTATAAACTTCTCTCTTCTCCCACTTAGAAGTGGGGGGACAACCGACAAGGCCCTTGGCACTACCTAGGATTGTAGTACCGGAAATACGGAAACTAAAAGAGGTCACGTGCCCAATAGTGGGGATATTCCAACCTATGCATATCTATATGAATATATTATCGTTTTTGAGCGAGGTATTTACCAGTGTTTACTACCCAGCACAGAAAGATTGCAAAATGATTACAGATATATCTCATTGCAATGTTGTAATATTGCAAATAGATTGGCACAATGTATTTGCATCAATGGCTGCGTTCAGTGGACTCAATATTTGAATGAACATTCGCTGCTATTGATGTATACTTCCAGATCTAAAATGTTGATTGAATAATCTAAAAGAATACATCAATAGCAGCGAGGATCCATTACGAAACAATTGTGTCTACTGAACGCGACCATTGGTTGCGTTTAGCGGACTCAACAGTGAGCGCTTGCTGTTATTGGCTGCGTTCAGCAGAATATTTATTTTGCAACTGTTGAAAGTTTTTTTCGCGCTGATTGGATTGTGCTTTTAGATCAAGAAGAAAGGTTCTATCTCAGAGAATTATAAAACGGTTGCAACTGTTGTATTCTGCTGAATGCAGCCATTGATATATTCTTTTAGCCATCCAATTAGAATTTTAGATAGAAGAATATACTAAAAGGTGCATTCAATACTACGACCGCTCAGCGAGTCATAGGTGCGTCCAGAAGCATGACCGCTCACTGAACTCTTGTATCTGTTTGGACTATATTTTTAGATCTAACCAAATATGCCAATCAGACGCAAGAGCTCATTGAGCGGTCGTGCTTCTGGATGTACCCATTGATTTTTTAATATTATTGATTTTTTTAGTTCTTCGTTAAATCTAAATGTAGTAATCAATCGAATTAAAGAATCACTAAGCGCTAACTGATTAATTTTCTCTGCTGAACAAATGATGATTTCTATA